TAGATTATTATAGACATTGTGATGGCTCCTTTCTTGCTGCATTCGTCTAACTGGCAAGAATACACTAAGTTTAGCTACCTGACAGAGTTGGCCAGGCAGGTAATTACACGAGTTTTTGGTTAAAATAATCTACTTTTCAAAAAATAATCCCAAAGTAATGCTCTTTCAGTTTTTATTCCCTTATTAATCTAGTTATTGCCATGTCGACTCCCCATCAAAGGAAAAAAAATAACTTGTAAATCTTTTGTTTAGATATTACACAGTTTTTCTTTATTTAGTGCCTTAAGGACATTCTGTAAACAAATTAAAAAAGGAAAGTGGATCCATAATTAGTGTTTTAAAATTGTTGATCACCCTCCAAATTGCAATGATTTTGCCGAAGAACCTTTTTTTTTTGCTGCCATTATTCCTCCCTAGCTTTATTCTTGATTATTATATCACAAGTTCCTTTCTTTTTTTCTTGTTACTTGCAATTTTTTATACGGTAGTCTCCTAACTTTGTAAATTTTAAGAAGTTTGCAGAAATTCAAATTGTTTGAAGTACGAGTAAACATTTCAAGATACATAATAATCATAGTATACGTGAACTATAAAAATTCCACTATAAGGGGAAAGAAAATTTGAAAAAAAAAATTCTCTTGCATTTTTTGACTTATCAAAAGAGAATACATCCCAAAAAAATAGGAGAGGGAAAATATAACTAGGTCAGTGTTAGTATCAAAATTAACACGCTATATGAGCCAATCTAATGTGAGAAACACTAATTAACTCAATAATAGATAGAGAAATATTTTTATTTATCTTTAAGATTGTACATAAGTAGCAAAATTTGAACTATTGAAAAGTTATTAAAACTCTATTGATGTAGATTGTACCTCTTAATATAAGATGGAAATGTTAATACTTTCCATACTCAAAGTCCACGTGGCAACAAGTAGGTTAACAAGGGAATATATTTTGAAAGTGCATTAGTTTGGGAATAGTTTTAAAGAATGAGGTTATTGTTGAAATTTGCAGTAAGTTCTCATATTTGTATTTGGCTGCTAAGATGGTCTTTGGGAGCCAAGCTCCAGAAAAATGGGTATTAAGTGAAGTATCGTTCGTGAAAGCCAGCTTATGAATTAATAGTTGGGTTAACAACACTTTGCCCCTCTGAAAGTTGGGGTAATAATACCTTTCCCCACTCAATGAAAATAATAGGCACTTTTTCCACTTGAGATATTTTGTGTGGTATTTGTGGCAAGCATTCCGTCTGCAAAATATAGAAAAATGGACTGCTTAATATGTTGACAATTTTACCCTTATGCTATTGATAAATAACAAAAATTTATAAAGTTAATTTTATATAATACTAATAATATATATACTATTACAGTTGGATGTATGACATAAACAAAATTTGAATTTCAAATTTAAATTGAGATAAGTTATCATGCATCTAATAGTGATGGTGTATACACTGTCAATATATAAAAAAAATAATTCAGATTTATAAATGATATTTTATTGAGAAAATGGAATGCTTAAATACGTTTTACTCTTGCGTTATTGACAAATAACATACTCTTATATTGTTGAAAAATAACGAAAATATATAATGACATTTATTGAGGAATGTCAGTCATATATAGCACCAAAGGTTTTCTTCAAAAACAACATACATTTTGGGGTGTTCAAACTTCGAAAAGTCAACCGATCCAATTTAGATTGGATACCAGTCAAATGAAAATCGATAAAGTCAATTGATATCTAAATTTAAACCTACTAATATATTTCATGGATTAATGATGTTATAAGTTATAGCTCATGCTTCCATAGGATCAATTTGACTAAAAATAAAATTACAAGATAAAGGTAGAATTGTCAATAGATTTAAGTAGACTTTTTTTTTTAACATTTTCAAATGGAATACTTGAAACAAATACCGTGAAATATTCTCAAGTGGGTAAAATGCCTATTATTTTCATTTAGGGGGCAAAGTGTTATTACCCCTAACTTTTAGGGGGCAAAGTGATATTAACCCTTAATAGTATTATATAATCTAGGGATAATTTCAAGGAGGTTTCTAACAATTAAAGACATCTTTCCTAAAGTTTGAAAAAATTACAGTTATCTCCATTGTTGTTATGAAAAGACCATGATAGCCTTTATAAACTTTACAAATTTTAATAGAAAATGAGTTAAGAGAGAAAAATAATTTTTTTTTTTGTAATAGTTCTGTTGCGCTTGGATTTTATCTCAATAACGGGTGGTGGGATAAAATCCAAACCCAATAACTTCTTTATCCTAAAACTCTAACATCATTTAATCTAATACATTATACTTCATTCCCAATTTCTCTAACCAGTTTTATTAATCAATTTACAAAAAGTGGACCAACCGATTGGGGAGGCATTTGTTGAATAAGTATTTTAAAAAATTACTTAACAAGAAAAAAAAGTCCAAAGTACCAAAAAAGAATACTTTCAATTCAGGTTTAAATTTTCCTGTAAAAAACTGAACTTTTTAGCATTTAAAGATTCGACAATTTCCGCAGGACCAAGAGATGGTGCTGAATTAGGAGTGTGCAAAATCGAAAATTTTCCATTTATCGATCGAATTCGAATTGCACTCGGAATTTTCGAAATTGGTAATTCGGAATTCGGCACTGAAATCGGAATTTTCGATTTCGAATTAAGCGAATTTGGTTTGAATTCGGTAATGGAGTTTTTGAAATCAGAAATTGAAATTGAAATTTTCGATTTCAATTTCGTTTTATAATATATACATATATTAATATACATTTATTTATATATATAATAATTTTTTTATTTCATTTTCATTTTATAAATATATATCATAATAATAATAATATTTTTAATATAAAATTTATATTATATAATAATATATCTAACAAAAAAGAAAAAAAAGGAAAAAAAGGTTTTTAAATTCGGTGAATTCCAAATTTACCGAATTTCAAATTGAATTCGGAATCGGAACTAGTGAATTCGAATTCGAAATCTGTCGATAATTCCTATTCCAAAATTCTGAAAAATTTCGAGTTCAAACTTTCAAATTACCGAATTCGAATTCACCCATACACCGTACGTAAGATAGGAGAGAAACTAATGAATCAAAATCGAGAGTGCATATTTAGTCATATTGAAAGGAAAGTTTGTCGTTTGTTGAAAAAAAAGAAAGGAAAGTTTGTCAACTATGCAGAATTTCACTGCGGGGTGATCCCATCTCAAGGATTTTCTTGATTACTGGTAATGTCCAATAATGTTGACGGAGGGGTTTGCTGGCCGACAGCACATATCCTATAGTTTTTCACACCGGAGAAAATGTTCTGAGAAATACTCCGCGGTAAAAGGGGAATTAGAAGGGGGGAAAAAAAAAACTACAAGAGATCAAAACGTCCCAGGAGGTAACAAGAGAAAAGTCAAATAGATAGGGTGAAGTGGACAAATACGGGACAAATAAGATAAACGATATGCATATAAAACAGGAGCGAGCTGGTTGGAGAGTGGAGAGCAAAGAGTGACCAAAGGCCCAGGGGCCAATCACTTGGAATTTCTGCTGTGTGGGAGTGTGCGTGCAATCACACGTCTTTGAAGGAGTGATATAAACAATGTTGATCCCTGTTGCGGATGGGATCGGGATGAGACTTCAAACCTCCTTTGTTCTCTTCATAGATTATTGCCACTAAATTCTTTGAGACGAAATTGAGAGAGCTACCATCCACCCTTGAAACCCCTAACCTCACCCACCTTTCCTTTCCCATTTATATGTTGAGTAGCTTAATTTCTCCAACATCCCAAACAAACAGTCGAACTACTTGTAATCAGTGGGTGGAAGGATTCCCTCCCTAGCATCATCTTGCCAAATTCTGTTCTACAAAATATCGGTCAAACCCTATTTGCTCTTCGTCCGTATCGATCCAAAATATCATCTTGCATCCCAGCCCCTAGCCCAATTTTAGCTGAATATCAAATCAACCTTTTTGGGCATTTCGGCAACTCCCAAAGCTTCGTTGATCTTTCACACTGGAATTGAATCAAACTTCCAGCTGAGATTGGAATTTCCATTGCAAAACAGTTTTATCGAGGTACACTGCAGTAAAAGATACTATCTGATTTGGGTCTGTTGTGGGCTTCTTTCCATCTCTTCCATCGGAAAGATCGATCCTTTTTCCCCCGCAGTTTTGATCCGGGCTGATCTCTGACTGCCTTCGAGGTATGAATTTCCGAAGCATGGAGGAGTTTTGGCTGTTTTACATGAATCAACACTCGAAACCAGCCACCAGGCGTTGGCATTTTGTGGGCACACTTTGTAGCATTATTTGCTTGATATATTCAATGCTTTTCAACTGGTGGTTTGTGATCCTTGTGCCCTTGTTGGGATATGGCTTGGCATGGTATAGCCATTTCTTTGTGGAAGGAAATGTTCCTGCAACATTTGGGCATCCCTTTTGGTCCCTTTTATGTGATTTCAAGATGTTTGGATTGATGCTCACTGGTCAAATGGATAGAGAAATCAAGAGGCTCGGTAAGAGGCCAGTTCTGCAAGCTTACTAATCCATTCCGATTTTCTATTTTACTCTTTTCTTCCGGTATGGTTCACAAAACCGCTTGTAATTCCCTTTCTCGCGTTCAATCTAATCTTAATTTAGTTCATTCAGCTGCCGACTTACAACTGAAATACTCTTGTGTTCGCTAATTTGCTGCAATCAATCTTCCGCCCTTTTGCAAATTGATGAATGTTTTGTGCAAACTCAATACTACGTTTTCACATTTGCGGAGGGGGGTCATAAGCGTTTCTCAAATTGCATACACGTTTTAAGGTATTCAGCTTAGTAGCAGCGAGGAATGATTATGAATCACTCGTCCTTGAAAGCACTAAATATCCCTCGCAAACTGGACAACTGGGGTTCGACCTTTACATCTTCAAGAGTATTTCCGTGGTGTCTTTTACTTTTCTATTCAACGGAGAGACAGAAAATGTACTCTCTCTTCAGAACAAAAACGAAAATATCCAGCGCGCCTTACATTTCGCCATTTCTTGCAAATGTACCGCTAAGTTCAACAATTAGTAAGGGAACGAGACTATCCTAGCCCGCGTCTCAGCCAGTCTGCGGGTATCCGTATATCCAAAGAAATGGAAAGCACGAAGTCCAAGCTGAGACATACATGATGTGAATGAACATTCAATTTCCCAGTAATTCCTGTTCCTAAGTAAGTATCAAAAGGGGAGTTACATTTGGACATGAAGCTCCAAAGCCTTTATCCTGCTTTTCTACAGTGAGATGTATTTCAGGCTTGATTCAGGTGACCTCCCTAACATACTAATATGGTCTCGGCTCCATGATATTACATCTGTGGCGAACTTTGGATAAATATCACATTTCAAGAGTCTTGTGTCCGGCTGTATTAGCAAAATTGTCTATCATCCACTATCAAAAGTAGCTTAACATCACAAGTCGGTGTTCCGTGAAAATGATGGCAGTGGCATTCCCTCCTGTGGACGGAGAATGACAATGACACCAAACATCCCAAGCATTGGAAGGACTAGAAGCCATTTCAACAACTTGTAATAGTGCATATGGAATGTCAGGGCGAAGTCATCAGAAAAATAGAGCCCATTCTTGTCAACCATTTCCACCACAACCATCCCAGAGGTCCTCACCCCTACAGTTGGAAGCTTTATCCTATGAACTCCAGCACGATCAAAGACATGGTTTTGCTTAATCGTCCTTTCCCCTTGGTAATTACCAGGAACCAACAAGCTTACCTGTTCAGATGTGTGTGAGACAAAGACAGTACATAATGGATAATAATGCAAAGTAAATTTCATGGACCTTTTATGTTAGATGCTTTAGAATATGAATGCAAAGTAAATTTCGTGGACCTTTTGTGTTAGATGCTTTAGAATATGAGACGGAAGAAGCCACTCACCGTAACATTGTAAGGACCTTGATATCCAGATGGAATCCTGTACCCATCCACAATCTCCATCTCGACCCAGAAACTCTTACCTTCTTCATCTCGGAAAGCCCTCGATGATGGAGTAACGTGGATTCCCTCGCGATTGGGACGGTATGCAACATTGTTCCTCCCCTGATTATGTGATCTCCAAGCCTAGGAATGCACAAGAGCAACTCAGATCAATTGAGTGCAAGGACAGATGGCAAGAAGCAAGCAACAAAATATTTCGAATGTATCCAACCTTGAGAGGATGATGGGGAGCAGGAGTTGAGAAGCAGAAGACATTTCCATTCATTGTTGTGACTATAAGATCCAAATCATCTCCACCATCCACATTATCAGCCAAGACCATGCTATATCTGTTCCCCAAAATGGACCAAAAAGAACCAGAAAATGCAAAAGTTTAGTAAATTACGAAGAAAGAAGTTTGAAGGCCTCAAGGAATGTGGTTGTCTTACGAAGTTTCACCAATATCCACCACATCCGCACATGATGTCGGTCCATCAATAAGATACATATATCCATCAAATGAAGTTGTAACAATAGTAAGCCCCTTCTTCTTTTCCCCTCTTTTGCTCAAGTCAACCAGAAGTACCTGATTCATCACTCTACCATGAGTTCTATATGGATATGGCCTTACAAAAGATCCATCCTTGCCACTCAGCACATATATATTCCCAGATAACGTCGGAACAACAACATCTGTATGGCCATCCCCATCCACATCACCCACACTCGCTCCCTGATTGAAAGGCAATCTTTCAGCATGTCATTGAACTATTAAAATATATTTGAATCTCATTAAGCTGAAGACATTGCAAAACAAACTGAACCTTACCTGTGGAACAAGGCTCTTAAGATGTTGTTCCCATATTTCTTTTCCCTGAGTAGTCCATGCAGCCACATTCCCATGTGTATCAGTAGTAACAATTTCAATCTTTCCATCATCATTAATATCAGCAGCAATGACTGCTCCTTGTATTTCAGCCATTTCCACAGGAAACTTCACCCTCATTTCGCCTGAGTACAAACTAATCAATTACAAAGCAACACAACAAGAATAATAACAAATGGTTTTCTCTTCTCTCTCATTCCCCCTCTGATATGCCATCCAAGCATATACCAAAAAACATTTACAAGAATAAAGAATAAGACAAATGATCATCAAACATGTAGACAGCATGTCCCCCCATCAAAACACACACACTCTCTCTCTCTCTAGGACATTTTTAGCAGCCCTAATTCTCTCTCATATTAGACAACCGGAGCCAAAGCATCTAATTCATTTTCTTCAGGTAACCAACTGGAGAGCAAGCATATGCAAGCATAAAACATGTCGAATTTTGCCAAAAAGTCGTATGTTTGCCGGATAACAATGATGACAAAAAGAAGACACGAAAGAGGAATAAATACCCACAGAGCTTCTTTCCTTTTCTGATGTTGGGATCAAAGAACAAGGTAAAGGACACAGGCCAGGAGGGAGAAAGAAGAATTTATGAGTGAAAAAAGAAGAAAGTTTTAGGGCATAAGGAGGAAACTGTATCAAGAGCCACTCAGAAGTTCCATATTTGTTTATATTTAACTTTATGTATACAGAAGTCAATCACAATATCTTTATCTTTCAGGAGGTTCCATTAGCTTCTTTCAGTCAATAAGTGTTGGACAGACAATAACCAACGACACACAAAACCAATTTATGTACATGAAATCAACGTGAAACCCAACCATCAATGACTAAAATGGAAAAACCAATTAAGCAAGGGACGTGCATGACAGATATACAACTGTTAAACAACTATAGGTTTTAAGAGAAAAAGAATCCAAGAATTACCCTTGTGATCAAATACATACAACAATCCATAAGAAGTTCCAACAAGAATGTCCAAATTCCCATCACCATCCAAATCAACTACAGTTGGAGAAGAATATATATAGGCACGAAACTTTCCATTCTCTGTACTTAGGTCCAGTTGTGTACTCCATTTGACCTGCTTTGTGTCTAGATTGAAAACAACAATACCACCAGCAACATATTTACCAATGTCAATGCCACCAAGGTCCTTTGAATGCTCTGGGTTGTCATAATACCTGACATCTTAAAAACATCAGCTGAAACTCATGCAGCCAATATCCACGTTTTCCAAGTCAAAAATAAAGCAACGTGCAAAGGGCTAGTCATGAGCAAACACATGTTGAAAATTTCCTAGAAATTGAAGAGAAAGAGAGCAAGATGCCTGGAACAAGTTTGCTTAGACAGAGAAAGAAACAGAGGTGCCACTAAATCATGCATGATAAAGCACATTCCAATGTTCTAAATTTCCTAGAAGGCTAGATGTAGTAAAAGTATGACATCTAAGCGATAAAATTCTTAGCAAATTGAGCAATAAAATACACTTACAGCAAACGTTTGAAAGTTAAATTCGACAAGAAAATGAATACAGCAGTATACTATTGAAAATTTAATTAGCTGGAGGGACTTTAATGAAAAAATATACACACACACACATGCACACAAACATACATGGTGTTATACGTACAGAAACTTACTCACGGTCAAAGAAGTAGGAAACTGCAACAACCATCTCTGAGGTCCCATCATTATCAATATCTGCAATAACCTGATTGGCAAGAGCAAAGTTCAATTTCAGACTAAAATCTGCCTCATCATATGGGAAGAAGCTTTGGTGCTACCAGACTTACAGGAGTGCACAAAACATGTGCATCAATATGCACATAATTTTCTAACATTTCATGCTGAGCTTCAGTCCACTCCTCTTCTCCCCACAGATTTCCATCAACATAATCATCATAATCATAATTATATTCATCAGCCAGCTCATCGCTATCTCGGAACAATTCAAATGATGAATCGGCTTCTGCCTCCAAACCTCCATTATTTTCCACTGTAGCCTCGTGGACTCCCTCATTGGTTTTTGCTTCAGATCCAGAGACACTCTCCCCGGAGCCTTTTGAGACATTATCTTCCAGTAGCCTTCTGCTAGTCTTTGAAGCATTTTCACCGTCGCTAACTTTCTTGAATCCAGAACCCAATGAAGTCTCAATCGAATTATTTAGCATTTGAACATGTGGATCTGTTTGGCTATCATTGCTTTGCTTTTGATTTGGTGTATCAGATAAGTTTATTTTATCAAGTTGAACTTCTGCGACTGTAGATTTTGTAGAGTTTAATTCTTCAATGTGAGCTTCTGATGTAGTAGGGTTTGAAGTGTTTGCCCTGACTGAACTTCCATTATGCTCTACAAGGATATATGGAATTTAGTATGAACTTTGTGGTTCAAAGAAGAATAAAAGTCAAAACACTTTAGGCAGGGGAACCAATCAGAATTACCCAAAACATGGTCAGCCATGTACTGATATCAGGGAAAAAAGAAAAAAAACCAAATGTCAACAATTTCAAAAGATGAACATGACTGTTCAAACATCTAATGTTAAGAGTTGTGAGAAGATGTGTGGAGGAAATAGAATGAGGCAAAAGAATAAGCACATGCAGGTTAATGAATAGGAAGATGATAATGCATTTACAAGCATTCTAACCCACATATTGGCATCCATCAGCTGGTAAGCATAATAGAGATTATCCCAAAGAATTGGTAGCGCATACAAGAAGTCTGCCAATCAGACCTCCTTTTGAATCATCCAAGGGAACAAAAAGGTCCCATGCAGAAGAAAAAGGTGAATAAAAAAATCATAAAAAAAAGCACCACCATCACAAGCATTACAAACTACTTTCAGAAAAGAAAGTGATGTACGAGTTATTGATTCCATAAGCGCCTCCTGGATCAATAGGTCATCATGAACATTTGGATGAGAACGGTCCACTGGGTCTTCATGCAAACCCACATACCAATCCTTTTTAACTTTCAATCTAGGAATCTCTAGCTTGTCTGACATCATGTAGCCAGAAACCCTGTTTTATTTTCCACATTAAAGCAGTAAGCCCAAGGCACTTCATTTATAGGTGCAATAAAAGAACCATGACAGATAACAGATTTACCTGAAAAAGAGCACCTCACCATTGTAGGTGGCCAACCCTATTTCTCTCACACCATCCTTATCAATATCATATAAAAAAGGACTGGAATGAACAGTTGACTGGTGGAAAGCAGGCCATCCTGGAGAATTAGTCTGAGCAAGTTATTAAATTCAACACAGAAACATTCTGGCCAATATAGCAACACAACCAACTAAATTTCAAAAGCACAAATAAAAGTGTACCTGGCATTTTATCTCCATCAGAACCTTCTAGGACTTCTAAGAAGTGAACAAATGAAGGAACAACAACATCAAGCTTTCCATCACTGGAACATAAAAATAGAAATCAAACTCAGCATTCAAAATAAACAGGTTCTGCTCGCTTACAAATATCATGGATTCCCACAAACTTTCTTCAAATCTTATTCATAATGGCATAGACTAATCAGAAGTCCCTTTTTCCAACAGATTCAGTTTCCCTACTCAATATTCATAATACATCTTTTTACTTTCTTGTCATTGACTCATGATATCTTCTTATGAGTAGATGATAGCCCGTCAATAGCCAACCTCCCAATTAGCTTCTTAAAGTTGTGCTTTTGAAGATGGCAAAATAAGAAAAATATGGACACATAGCAAGCACTTTACTGAAAACAAATTTTATTGAAGCTAAAATCAAATTCCTTTTGGAGACAACAAGCTGCTTCCATTCTTTTACCTGTTGATATCAGCAATCAATGGTGTGGCATATATACTGGAGCTGACTTCCGTTTGCCATCTTAGCTCCAAATGCTGAGGGCACTGCGTATTCAACAGCTCACTCTCATCCCTAAACATGACCAGACCATGAAATGGAAACTATTTAAGCTGCCAAAGTTCTCAAAAACCAGGTTTTTACAACGTCATTTCCCCACCATACAGCAACATATCTTCCATCAACAAATTCAATGAAAAACCATCCTGTGAACTTTAATATCCAAATTCAACAATCCGGAGCACACATACTGTCTGTTTCCCCAGATAAACATCACAATGTAACTAGTATCCAAGAAAGTGCCAGGCAAATCGAGCAAATGACAAGAAGCACCCGACGATGAATTATCGGAGTCCACACAAGTCTTAAAAAAAAAAGGTGAATAGAGTAAAAGAGGTGGACTTACAAATTGGGATAAGCAACGGCATCGTCAGTAGCCTCTCGCTCTCGAAACTTGTTCTTCTTTGTTTCTTCCGATCGCAGACCAGCAAAATAGCAATTAAAGAGCACAAGGTAACATAAAAATAATAAAACCCTAATCTTCATGTCAGAATCGCTTCGTTAAGTTGAAACTCTTCGATTTTAAAACAATTCACAGATACATTGACTTATAACACGGCCTTCAATCTCCAAGAAAAGAAACAAAGATATATGTTACCAAGCATCAAAACCATAAACGATGTGGTCGAAACCTAAAGCGATCAATCGCTTGATTTTTAAATAAGTGGCTTCAATAATTCGGGGGCAGTGCGATCGGGCGGAGTGTCAGGCAAGATAGAGCGATGCCGATTTGGACTTACATTACACGAGTCCAACGTTGACTGGCTTCTTCTCCGGTCACTTTTCACTCAGAGCTTCAGCTCCCTGATAATTCTAGAATATATTATTCATATTTCGGAATTTTGGGCCATTTGACTCGTACGGTAGCGCGGAGTTTTTACTTGGGCTTTTTCAGGCCCAAATTTTGGCCGAATCCTTTCAGTTTTAGCTTTTCATTGTGCGTTTATTTAGGGGTAAAATACACTAAACCCCCTTGTGGTTTAGGTTATTGTCATAAAACCTCCTCATACATTGAACCTCCTTACACTATGGACTAATCTGGAATTTGGATGAAAAACATCCAAATTAATGGAGAGTGAGTCACACTCGCCTAATACGTGAGTAAAATTGATCACGTTGATTTTTCTGTGTAAAAACTGATTTCTTCTTCCAATTATACACTCCTTCTTTTGCTTTTTTTTTTTTTTCACTTTCTTTTGCTTTCCTTCCTCCTCTCGCAATCAAAATAGAGACAGTAGATGCACCAAAACATCAACTCCCCTCACAACCACGATCACTGCGACCACTCTTTCTTCTTCTTATATTTATCTTTTGTTGCAGCACCAGAGGATTCTTAAGAATGTTCATGTCAAACTTTGGCTTCTTTTCCAATAGAACTCTCCTTACAGCAACACCTTTAATCTCTTAAGTAATTGCCCTTAACCCATTCTTTGGTAACCAGATTTGATGCCATCACCATTGCCATCGTGGTCACCAACTAATACGTAAGGCGGGCAGAAATCCAAATGGATTTGAGATATGAATCAAGGTAGCCTCACAAATTTTCCTTTAATCCATGCAAATATCTGACTTTTTGTGTGTAATTGGTGTCATATAACCATTTTACTAGTCCAAAGGATTGTTTTTATATAGTAATTTGTTGGTTTTGCTTTATTTTAGGGCTGAAATTTATAGTTTTGCCTATCATTGTTCATGCCTATGTTTGTTATTCTTTGCTTGTTTTTGGTCAAATTTGATATCATAATCATGATATACGCTGAAATTGGATTTGAGGGTGTAATTTTTGTTAAATTCCACACTGGTGGTAGCTACTGGCAGCTTTGCTCCTACTGTCGCTGCCGCAAGATCTGTAAATGATAATAAGAGGCCGGGAAGAAGAGAAACTTTGAAAATTTTCACCTTGACTCATAAAGTCTGTTTGTAAACCCACAAAGACGATGATGGATGTGGAGGTAGCGGTAGAAAAATAATGAAAGCTACTTTATCGCCGGAGAAGATGAAGAATGTTTTGAAATTTTAGTTTGGCCCCTTAATTTTTTCCTTAGACAATTCAAGATTCATGAATTTAGATGAAATTTGAGACCCAATGGTGCTGAAGATGATGATAAAGGTAATGACCACAACAGTCATAGTGACGGCGACAATTGCAATGATGGCAAGGTGACAATTGCTAGATTGAAGAAAGGAAGAAAAGGAGAAAAAAATGGTAGGGAAAGGAAAACAGAAAAAGGAAAAAAAAAAGATAAAAAAGAAAGGAGATGGGTTCTGAAATCTGAACATTGTCCAGTTGGAGAAGACAACAAACTTTTAGAATTTGTTGAATTAACCCCTGAATTTTACTTTTTTTTAAAATGAAGCAAGAAAGGTTTTAAAATCTTAAGTAAAACTCGAACTAACTTTTGGTATAATTTGAAAACAAGGTTAATATAGGAATTTTATATTATTCCGTCAAATTGGATGATTTCCGTTTGTTGGCCAAATTAGTCCAAATCATGAGGTGATTCTTTGAGAGTTTTTAAACAATGAGAAGGGTTTATGACAATAACCCAAACCACAAAGGAGTTTAGTGTATTCTACCCTTTATTTAGAAAAATTTTCATGCACTTCCCTCCTCCTCCTTACCCTGTATAACTTTTGGCTCCCCATTCCCCACACATGCAATATGAGAAATCAATTGTTCTAAAAAAAACACATGAAATGCTTTGGGCCCCCGGATCACGAGAAGAGACGTGATTTATCTTTTAATCATCCAAGACAACATATGAGTAACGAAAACTGAAAATTCACCCCCCGGTTGCATAGGAATGCACCACATGATTTTAAGGGCAGTTGCCCCATGCCATAATTGTACGTGTTTTTGTTCATTAATATCAGTGACAAATATCTTTCCTGAAAAACAAAAAATTTCTGAACATTCACCCTTAGGAAACTTTAAAAAAAAAAAACATTTTTTTTCTTAAGTCCAAAACCCTTTCTTACTGAAGGGCAGAGAAGGAAGGGATATCCAGGCTCCAAGTAGTCATTTTTTAGCTCAGAATCATCCTATAAGCAGATTCACAAAGCCAATCAGATGGCCAGGACCCTTGCTTAGATTAAGAGTGACGACATGACGAATTAGCAAAGTGAAGTCCAGGATCGGTTCAACGATCACATACCAAATTGAAAAGAACCAAGTAAATACTTACTAATAAAGGCCTGGACCTACACCCAGATGTTATACACATGCATGCATCCAGCTGCCATCAAATGCAGTTCCACGAGAAGACGGCTCACAGTGGCTCAGAAATCTACTCCTCAATTATAGTAATTAATATTGAACAATATTCACAAGACAGCGATGTTCGAAAACTGCAATACTAAAGCTGAAAAGGGCTACTTCTGGAGAGATTATAATTATAAAGACTACACAAAGAAAACCTATAATGATGACTAATATACATGGCATCCTACCGCCTAATTCCTTCCGGCCAGAAAACTTTCAGAAACAAGAACCAGCTGTCCGAAGCTGACGGCCATAATATGTAGCATGTAGCAACTGGATCCAAATAACCAGTGATGCACAGTATGAGGTTCTTCCAGTCAAAGATCTCAATATCCCTTTTGGCTAGTATACTCCTATGATAACTTGGGCAACTCAAGAGGCAGAGAGATCATTTTGCAGGCAAGGAAGAAAAGAAAATTCAAGGCTCAGATTTGTCCTATGACTAACTTCCTCAGGTAATGTACTCCACTAACTCAATAACAGCAACATCCATCACCTACGCCGCACAGAATTCGAGTGGTAGTGAGGCTTGCTGTCTCTCTGGATCCGATCAGCATACATTGGCAACTGAATGGTCTCATGAATCTCATCCAATAAGATCTCCTCAGTGATATTATCCCTTATACTTCTCATAACCTGTTGTTAATGCACATATTCCATTATTTACTTTAACCAAAATATGTAGCTAAAAGGGCATGACACTCTTCAGAAACCAAATTACAACCCTCCAAAAGTGTTGATAGTGAGCAAGGAAAATACCTTCTTATAGGTGTTGAAGTCGTTTGGAGTTCCTTTATCAGTCCTGATCCGCATACATACCCACACCTTTTCTTCAGCTTTCCAAGAGCACTCAATAATCTTCCCCGAGAATGATAACGGCTCAGAGCCATCTGTTATTCCAGAAACAATGAACAAAGGATACTGCAGGACTAGTAGTAGTTCAATAAATAAAGTTACATCACAATACTAGCAGATGCCATACAACCCAAAAAAAAAAAATACTGTCTGGATAGTTATCATCCACCCCACAAAAATCTGCTAAATCCTAACATTTTACTAGCACATCAAGCTCAGCTATTGTAACATCCAAAGCTCGGTTAATCTCAGCTTGTTCATGACACCCTATATCACCACAAACGAGAAAACTGGGGGTGGAAGTGGGGAGGGAAATGCAGCACATACGAAAACACATTCACATACATAATGGGGCGGACAGAAGAAAGATCATGAAAAAAATTAGCAAACACAGACCATCAAATACAACCACATTCCCTTCCATCAGCTTTTTCTTCCCTTTTTCATGAAGATAAAGAAGCTGGCGATTATCAACCACCTGTTCAGATCGATACCGGTCAGTAATATAATCAGCGTATTGAATCCAAATGCACTTCTACAAATAAGATCAAAGCAAATAAAAAATATCATAGATATTCAAACAAACTCAATTCATTTAAGGGCAAGTACAAATTAACTACAGATCAGAAATAAAGAAAATACTACCTCAAAAAGGAAATCCACCGAATTCATACTTGCATATTTCCATTTCAAGAGTCCCTCGTGTGTGCGAGGAACATAAGGGTCATCCCAACCCTGGCATAAAGAAAAGAATAAATCAATTGCCAAAAAAATTTTAACAAGCTAAGATTTGTAATAACATCCAGAAAAAGGTAAATGTGAAAGTAAAAGCCGAATGAATATGTAGCTTAGAATCAATAAGTAACCAAATTGCACAAATAAATTCTCAAAGCATGTCAATCACTTAATATCATAAGCTTCCTACCCTGGTGCAATGTTCATTATCAGGCATGCAAAACTAAAACACCTTCATCACCAAAAGGGAGAAAACGAGTGAATTTTTTCGAGTATAGGTGAGTCAGCAAACAACTTTATGAAGGTTTAAACATATATAAATCAATCAAATCAGATTTCATCAAAGGGGATATATAATACCATATGAGAGCCTATATTTGAGCACCTGAAAGATAAGACCATCAGCTGCATGAGAAAGCCTGGGGATGAATTCCTTCAGAAGTTTAGTTACAGTAGAAAGCAGCCAAAAATCCTTTCTCCTCACCTAATTAAGTTTGGTCAATCAGCCATCAGTTCCAAGAAGGAAAACAAAGTGTTGGGAATTCATACACAAGTAATTGAGCTGTAAAGAAGACATACCCTGAATGGTTCAAGTTCATATCTATAATAGGGGTTCCTACTCTGATAAATGTGCTGACGCTCATAGTTCCTCGGTTCAATTATTTCTTTCTCAAGCATTTTCCAACGCTCATAAAAGGGTCGCTGCAATCAATTGAAGGACCAGATGTCGACATTAAAGCACCCAAGCAGAGTCAGAATCCAAAATAACGAGAAAAGAAGGTCATGACACATTAAAATCACTAATCCTAAATAAAACCACATCCACTTCAACTAAAAGAAAACTAACATAACTACTTAATTCAACTGTAGAACCACTCATTCATGTTTCTTATATTGTATTATATTTCCTTTTCTTTTAAAAAAAAAAAGCCTTCTTAAATTAAGT